ATAAAAATAAATTTACATTAACATATATTAAGTTAGCAATAGAACTAGGCATTAAAAAACAATAAAAAACTAAAATACACGTATAGTACACTCATTACTTAACTTAAAATGTTTGTAGTCTTAATCTAGGATGAGATGAGTAGTAATTATTGTAAGAAATCAAGTGTGGTATGTATGGTAGCCAGCCAGGCTACCATACCAGGTCAACCCACCCACACATAATATTCTATGACATTTAAGCATCCCAGAGCGATAAAATGCATACAGTTCACTCATTACTTTAAAATATTTGTAGTCTTAACCCTTTAAAGGGTCAGGGGTGAGTAAATGAGATAAAAGGAATAAATGAGAGAGAGAGAGAGAGAGACAGACAGACAGACACACACAGACGGACAGACACACAGACAGACAGGACAGGTGCAGAGTTATGTAAATAAACCAGGCGAACACAAGTTTGTAAACAAGCCAGGCATACACATTTGGTTTGTGTACAAGTTACATTGTGTACAAGTTCTCTACATTGATACGGTAGAATAAATAAAGAGGAACACCCCCATTCTCATGTAACACCATTTTTAGAAGAAATGACACGGAGTGAAGGCAATGGAAATAAGCCGCTGTGACTTTTTTGGGTTATCCTAGGTACTTTACACATATGCCGCTATGTATGATAATCTTGAGGGGAGGTGACCAGACTGGGTGGGTCACTGGGCTAATCTGGGGGGGGATGGAATCACTGAGCTAATCCGGGGTAGAGGGGACATGGACCTGCTCTGCATGGGTCAGTAGGCCTGTTGCAGTGTTTTTTTCTTTCTTATGTTCTTATGCCAGATTAGAGTGTGTGCGCCAGATTACAGAGTGGCTAGGTTAGAATACACAACCTATCAATAGAGACTCTCTGCTACATCTTCATTTTCATCGCTGCTTTCTCCTCCACTGGCTTGCTGCTGTGGATTTACAACCATCTGCACAATTTCTGAGTCAGTATAATGATGAAATCTGAAATTATGCTAGCCAAAATTAGAGCCAGATTACTGATGGAACTGGACAACCGATTGCCGGATTAGTGATGACCGACCTGTACTACTACCTCTACCTCCCTTTCCTACTAACTCTTGTCCTGTCCTTGTCTACTGGCCTATATATACTCCTCCTCCTCCTCTCCTTTTTTCTAGTGACTGTAAATGGACCAAGTCGGACCGAAAAGTCATTGGAAGCTCCTCTCTCCTATGTGCGGGTTATTTGTGTATTGTTAGTCATGGTATTGTGCCTTTTTGTTATTTAAACCCTATCCATAATTTAAGCAAACCCCAAAAGTTATACATCTTATAACCAATGCATTTGTGGCAAAAAGTTTTTTAAGTGTCAGCAGTATAGTACTGTAGTTGTGATATTTCTGAGCACTTTGATCAAATAGGTCACAGAGCACTCAGCCTTGACAAAAAAAAAAAAAATACTACCAAACCAAAATTAATAACCCAAGTAAATTAATTTCAAAGGCATCCCTAAAAGTTCCAAGGTTCATACAGACACCCCAGTAACTGACCTTTTCGGTGGCCGTCACATAGAACTACATCATTGGGGCCAGGATCCCTCACATTATGCCATGAGCTCAACTCACTCAGATAAGCTATAAGTGGTAAATTTTGGCCTAGATGAATGAATGGGTCTGGGCAGGGTGTGCACAGTAAAAAGAAAACCTGACCCACATGGCGAATGATGGGGAAAACAAAACTAACCATGTGGATGGTTTAACCCTTTGACTGTTTCGGTTGTATATATACGTCTTACGAGCCACCATTTCTGACGTACATACACTCAAATTCTAGCAGCTTCAAATCAATCTGGAGAAAGCTGGTAGGCCCACATGTGAGAGAATGGGTCTGTGTGGTCAGTGTGCACCATATAAAAAAAAATCCTGCAGCACGCAGTGCATAATGAGAAAAAAAAAAACAGTTTTTTTTTTTAATTAAAATGCCGACTTTGTGGTCTATTTTCACATAGTATTTATTGTTGTATTCTCGGTTTCTTGGTCTCATTTGATAGAATGGAAAACTTATTATAGAAATAGAGGTGATTTTGATTAGTTTCACTATGAAAAGAACCTTGAAATGGAGCTTGAAGTAGGGGAAATGTTTGATTTTTGCCGATGTTCAAAAGTAAATAAATGACATTGTCCAATAAATGTCCAAGTAGTCATTCTAATATGCAGTCATGAATGGGTTGACATTATTTATACAATTATTACAATATTGCAGTAATCTGCATAACAGTAAATCTTATTATTTTTTTTTTTGAATAAAAATTCAAAATAGAAAGCAAGAGTAATATCAGAGGGGCCTGGAGACATGACTGATGAACAAAGAAAATGTTATTTTACAGCCAGGAATGTCTGCATAGTTCATTCTGGACCCTATTTTGAAATTGGCATTTTTTTTCATTTTCGTGAAATTGGCTAAATTGCAAATTTCTGACCACGTTATTGGGTAGTTGAAATCAGTAAATGGGCAGCTTCTTGTACTCATTTGTTAGAAAAAATGGAGTTCTAAAGAAATAGCTTTGAGCTTGGTCGACTGGAACAATGGAATTAGCCGAGAATAGGGCTCAAAGTGGGCGAAATCCCCAATTCATAAATAACGCCGAGGTTACTAACTTGGTGAGAGTGTAATTCCGTCAGTTTTCCATCACATTTCATTCTTTTGGTGACATTACAACCGGGAAAAGATTATCTACCATTTCGCGAGAATTTTTTTTTTTTTTTTTTTAATTTTGCCACACCAGGAGACACCTCAGAATCTGGGTTTGCGACAGTCAAGGGGTTAATGCCACTAGGACCAGCTTGAGAGTCGCTGCACCAGTCTCACAAAATAACTGTCCACAGTCCTCTGTTTCTGACACCTGTAAGATTTCCCTAAAATGGGACATGGTTATGTCACTGAACTTGTTGCAAAGATGGCTTCTTTCAGCTTGCTCAGGATGGTGCTTCTCCACAAACGTTTGGACATCATTCCACTTGGCACAAATCTCCTTAATCATTGAATCGGCATGTAACTTCCTTGCCTTTTCACAAATAATCATCTCTGAAACACTATCACCTGCCATCTCTCTATCCTTGGTCCACACCAGCAACTTCTCAACCTGATCGATTGTCTATGGTCTTTTATTGGTTAACACATCAACACCTTACGCAACATCAGCTTCCTTGATTTGTTCTTTCTTTGCCAGGATAGAAGCGATGGTCTATTCGTTTTTTCCCGTACATCCTGGCAAGCTCAACAAGTCGTACACCACTCTCATACTTCTGTATTATTTCCTTCATATCTATAGTTTCTCACTTTCTTTACCACAGGGCTACCACTAGCAAGTTTCTTTGGGCCCATGGTAGCTTATTTCAGTCCCACAAGCACTAAACGCAATGAATTAATCGTACAATGTTTGAATGAGACCGCAGGTTAGTGTTCACTGCAGCATCAACAAAGCCAGACTGGCTCACAGCGCCTGCACGGGGACGCGGACAGAGCAGGCTGGCGGACAGGTCCTATACCCGGCAGTTCGAAAGAAAGGGCGAGTTCGATAATAGGGACAAAGTTGGTTCGAAAAAAGCAGTAAGCGGTCAATTTTCGAAGCGTTTGATAAGTGATATGTATGAAATTTGAGGTTCCACTGTACGTATATAAAACTGAAACAGTCAAAGGGTTAAACCATACCCCTGGCCGGGATTGAACCCACGGTCATAGAGTCGCGAAACTCCAGCCCGTCGTGTTAGCCACTAGACCAGCTAGCCACAATAAGATTCATCCAACTAGGTATATTTCTACACCATAGGAAAGTTAGCACAGGCACCTCTGTGACCACAAATGCAAGTTTTTACAGACGAATCTCCAGCTAGCGTGGCCATGACGAACTCTAGCTCAAGTCCCTTCACTGCCGTCAACATGACTCAAGAAATCGTAATGACACGACTGCAAATAAACCATATCCCCGGCCGGGATTGAACCCGCGGTCATAGAGTCTCAAAACTCCAGACCGCGGGTTCAATCCCGGCCGGGGGTATGGTTTATTTGCAATCGTGTCATTACGATTTCTTGAGTCAAGTCAAAGGGTTAACGATCAGGGATCCTGATCCTCAAAGGGTTAGTGTTCAGATATAAATTAAGAATTTGAGCCATCAAAGTGAAGGCAACATGGATATGTTCCCGTGTTCTTTGTTTGCAACAAAGAATAAAGATTATGCCATTGATTTTTGAGCACTGAAGTCTGTTTGAAAAACCCATTTATTGCATTAGTATCAAGCTCATCAAAATTTAGATTCACAGAAGAGGAATTAATTGATATACATAATGATGGGAGTCTGAAATTGAAGTATAATGAAGTGCCTCTGGACAAATTCGAAGAGATTAAGAATGAATATCCTCGAGTTGCCAGAAAAACTCTTGCAAGCCTTGTGCAATTTTTCACATCTTACCTGTGTGAGTTGGGGTTTTCTTTGCTCAAAAATTAACAAGAGGAAAAGGCTACAATTGGTTAAGAAAGAAATGAAGAAATGTCTGTCCAATATTTCACCTAATACCAAAAGGATCTGCCAATCACACCAAGCCCAAATATTTCACTAAAAAAGTTAAAGACAATATTTTTTTTATTGCGATCTATAATTCTTGTGTATTACTTACACTAATAGGCTTGTATATTTTATATTTTATGTGTTAAGTGGTTTTATTTTTAGTTATTATTAAGGGTAAGTACTCTTGGGAACCGGTTTTAATAGAAAATTGACTAGGGGCTCCACAGAATAAGACACACAAGTTGAGGGAACCATCACTGAAAAATAACCTACACCACTCTGAACTAAGATTTACAGCTGAAATGGAAGAGATTAAGGCATAGGGTTAAGTGCCAAAGATGTATGTTGTCTTTTCCTGAAGTCTCCAGACAGTCAAAGTTAAAACTCTCAATGATAACTATTTGTGGTTAATCACTACCATTTATATGTAAAAACTTACTTATGATTAGCCTTATTTTTCTGAACTTTGTTCACTTTGAAATTATGGGAACTGCTAGATTTACGAAGCGACAGTCTAGCAGCACTGCTTCTGCGAATTGCCTGAAATTAATAGTTAATAATTACTGCTCAATATTTTAAATTAAAATTAAATCATTTTACATATTTTATTAAAATTTATCAATAAAAATGTATCTGACCAAGTGACTTACCAGTCTAACAGTAATATATTAAGAAATACAATTAATAAAAATGTGACTATACAATAAAACTTACATTAACCCTTAACCCTTTGACTGTTTTCGACATATAAATACGTCTTACGAGCCAATGTTTCTGACGTATATATGTATACTCAATAATTCTAGCGGCTTCAAATCAAGCGGGAGAAAGCTGGTAGGCCCACATGTGAGAGAATGGGTCTGTGTGGTCAGTGTGCACGACAAAAAAAATCCTGCAGCACACATTGCGTAATGAGAAAAAAAAAACTGATCGTTTTTTTGGAATAAAACGCCGACTTTGAGGTGTATTTTCGTATAGTATTTATCGTTGTATTTGCGTCTTAGGTGATAAAATGGAAAACATATTACAGAAATAGAGATGATTTTCATTACTTTGATGATGAAAACGACCTTGAAACTGAGCTCAAAGTAGCGGAAATGTTCGATTTTTACCAATGTTCAGGAGTAAACAAATCACACCACACGTCCAATACACGTCAACTGGGGAGTCTAATATTCTTTCACTAGTGCACTGATATTATTTATACCATTTTTACAATAATGCAGTAGTCTGCATAACAGTAAATTTTGTATTTTTTTGTATGAATAAAAAATCAAAATAGAAAGCAATAATAATATAAGAGGGGCCTAGAGATGTGACTAATGAACAGAGCATACGTTATTTTAGTGCCAAGAACGTCTACATTATCTAGACCCTATTTTGACATTGACATCTTTTTAATTTGCATGAAATTGGCCAAATTGCCAATTTCTGACCACCATATTGGGTACTCCAAATTAGTAAATGGGAGGTTTCTCGTACTCAGCTGATAGATAAAATGGAGTTCTAAAGAAATAGCTATGAGTTTGGTCAACTGGAAGAATGGAATTGGCTGAAAATAGGGCTCAAAGTCGGCAAAATCGCCGATACTCATATGTCGCTGAGACCACTAACTTCGCGGGAGCATAATTCCATGAGTTTTCGATTAAATCTCGAACTTTTGGTGTCATTACCATCGGGAAAAGATTCTCTATCATTTCATAAGAAAAATATATATTTATTTTTTTTTTTTCAAAAAAAATGAGCGACATAGAATGACAGTTTCAGAAAAGGGCCCGAAACAGTCAAAGGGTTAAACAGTCCAAACATACATATACGTTCTCTCAAGCAGCGCCCCGAATATTTGAGATTTTTTTTTTTTTTTGAAGGAAAAGAGCATGTGGTACCCAGGCATCCCCAATTTTTTTCATATGGCACACACTGAGTGTGCACACCTATTCTCTCATGTCTTGGCGACTCAATGTTGAATGAATGACAAATGAAACGTATATACACCTACCATCTGACTTACGACCGAGTTCGGTTCGGAGAAACCGGTCGTAAGTCGAAATGGTCGTAAGTCGAACTTTACTACTGAGTATCAACAAAACATTTTTGCAATGACTATTTTAGTGTTTTATTTTGGTATTTCATGTTTTACTTTACTTTTTATGCTGTAAGTACAGTGGACCCCCGCATAACGATTTTAATCCGTGCAAGAGGGCTCATTGGTATGCGAAATAATCGGTATGTGAATGAATTTTCCCCATAAGAAATAATGGAAATCAAATTAATCCGTGCAAGACACCCAAAAGTATGAAAAAAAAATTTTTACCACATGAGATATACATTTTCCTACACACAAAGAGAAGGATACATGCACAATAGTAGAGTAGTACATGCACAGTATATATTGTGCATGTACTAGTCTACTAAATGAAGAATAAATGACACTTACCTTTATTGAAGATGCAGCAATGACTGATGAGACACTGTGTCCTGGGAGTGCCTTTTCCTCCTGAGTACTGTAGGTCCTGTGACATTTTCTTCCAGAACAGGCCTTATCACACTGTGTATGCCACTACGATTCTTAAATCTCTCAAACCAACCTTTGCTGGCTTTAAATTCACCAATATGAGCAATAGTTCCCAGGCATTTTTCCCTGTTCACCTGGGTGTTAGTGAATGGTGTGGTTGCATCTGGGAGACAAGATTAGGACCCAATGGAAATAAGTTAGACAGTCTTCGTGGACAATGACTTTCTTGGGTTATCCTGGTGGCAAATCCTCTGGGTTAATTGTTTTCTTGGTTTTCTCAAATAAGACACACCAACAACGGTGCTACGGCAGGTCAGCCAGCAGAGCTGACGGTGGTTACAGCAGCAAACAGGACTGATGCTCTGCAGCTAGGCAGAACGATGCTACAGCAGCAGCAGATGATGTACAGCAGCAACAGACGATGTTACAGCAGCAGCAGACGATGCTACAGCCAGCAGCAGCAGCTCTGACGATGCTACAGCAGCGCAGCAGCAAGCAGCAAGCAGCAGACGATGCTACGCAGCAGCAGCAACTGACAGTCTACAGCAGCAGCAGACGATGCTACAGCAGCAAGCTGACGATGCTACAGACAGCAGCAGCAGCTGACAGTGCAGCAGCCTGTACCACCAATAGTAGCGATGGTTGATTGGGGTTTATTATACAACCTGGCCCAGCTCGGAGACACGCACTCCACTTTCATACTTATCAATTGATCTTTTTTTCATCTCTATTGTAATCTCAACCTTATTGCTGTAGGGTTGCGCACTAGAAGCTTTCTTGGGGCCATGGTCACTTATTTTCCAGTATAAAGCACTGGAAAACAAATGTATACGAAATGTACGATTGTATGACTTGGATGTTTCCGCGGAAGGATTGCTGGTAAACAATGGGCACAGGCGGCACATGTGAGGTTGCTGAGGGCGCACATTGGACGCGTCTCGGTCGAACAGCGGTGAGCGGGTTTTTAGGCTGTATGCGAGGCAAAAATTTTTGCGATTAAAGCAAGCGGTATGCGGATTAATCGTTATGTGATGCCAACGGTATGCGGGGGTCCACTGTACTGTATTTTATACTGTAAGGTTTAGGATAAACTCTGTGTACAACACAAACAGTTGTTTATTTCCCAGAAATTTGGCATAAAAAACACAGTCGTAAGTCGAGTTGGTCGTAAGTCGGCAGGTCGTAAGTGGATAGGTAAGGTGTATATGTTTGGGGCGCTGTGCGAGAGAACGTATATATACGTTTGGACCGTTTAAGGATTAATAACCAAATCTTTTTCAAAACACAGCAGAGTTGTCACTGCTCCCCACCGATGTACAGTTCAAGGGTCCACCACATAAATTTTGATTGGACATCACTGTATATTGTAGAGAATCAAACCAAATACAACTAAAAAATTACAAAAAATAATGTAAACTTACCTTGTTTTTAATTGGGTGTTGAAGGCTAACCCATTTAAGCTTAGTAGTATCTAGTGACTAAAAACTATAAAAAGATTTCTACTATTGACTTGTTTCCAAAATTGACGTATTCTAGAGGGTCATCGATCCTTCGCCCAGGTCTTCAAAACAGCCTCATGAGTGGTGGCCTGGATCATCCCATGTAGTGGGTGTTAACAATATTCAGGACAATTTAAGCAACATAGCCCAGCTGATTGGCAACATACCAACAATGTTCAAAAACAGTAACAAATCAACATTTAAAATGTAAGTGTTAAACAGTCTTATTTAGAACCTTTACACATCAAGTTATGTATTTGTTGCATGCCTACTTGTCACTTTGGATACATCTAGACCTGTATGATCACTAGCATTTTTTATCATTAACTTTCATCTTTGGTCACCTGCAAAACAGCCTCTAGCAAGTCAATAGCATCCTCACACCTTAACTTACAGAATTTAATTCTTTTATCATCATTGATGAGAATTTTTTTTTTTTTTTATGGATGTGCTGTTGGAGTGTGAGCAGAGAAACTTATGACGGGATTCAGGGATACACGTTAGCCACACAAATCCTGAAAGTGGAAAGGGAAATGCCTGCATTCTGAAGGTGGGGTGGGGTGGGGATGCCGCAGTCTGTGGGTGATCTGATTGTGATGTTGGCACACTTCTGGAACGATGGCAACTAAGTGAATATTGGTGAATGTGCTCTTTGGGGTCACCCTGCCATGGCATGAGATGCCCATGAAAAAAGATTTTGTATATATATATATATATTTTGTCCATGTATGATGGGCTTGTTTGGTAGATGCACTATAGGAAAATTTATTGTGATTAATGTTTAATAATCAAAAAATCAAAATACTTTGCTAGAGAAACAGGAATTTACGGATAAACCATGTGTCAGCCCACCCATCCTCCCTCCCATATACCTACCTACCTGTTAGACATCTACTCACACCCAACCCACCTACAAATACCTGTCACACCAAACGCCCACCTGCCCAATTACAAGCCTGCCTCTCCACCCACCTTAATACACAACACTTGGCAATCCTCCTCCCTCCTCCAAATACACATACCTGCCCTTCTCACTATACCAAGCCACCCCTGCCTTTCTTCCTACCCTGCCACAGCATAAAGCACCCATCATCCCTCCACCAAGGAACCCTATTTTCCCATTTGCTTTCACACAAGTGTTTACAGCAGCACATACCCCACGGAGGATGCAGTTGGCAGTGCATTACTATTACTTATCAGTTAATAAATTCAATGCACAATCACTGGTCTAAGCTAAAAAATCCACAAATCTGTCCTCTGTATTGGCACCATCTGCTAAGCTCTGACTCTAAATGGGTAATGTTAGGGTGCAATTGAAAATACCATCTTCAGAATTTTTCAAGATTAAACAAAACAGATTATCTTCCTCACTGTCTTTAGAGAGGCAAAACTACTCCAGGTGTGACCAATTTGGGTGTTTGAAGTTACAGTGGCCCAAAGCTCTACACATGTTTTTTCTATCAACTGCCACCACCCCAATCTATGCATCTACAGTACATACAATTTTTCTGTAAAAGATATGCTTCAGGGTTTGGGGCTTCATGAACCATTGAAGAGGCAACACACTGGCCAGAATCATTGTTTCAAGGAAGAACTAAGTAGCACTATCCAACAAACCACTATCCAACAAGAAGTTTTAACATCTAGAAACAGTAGGCAAATTGCAGGAAATTTGAAAACTAATCTTTTGCCTCTGTATACAGGTCATGTCAAATTGCTTACATAAACATTAAACATGAGTATTTGGCATTTAAAACCATGTTGCCCATTCCCTCAGCATGTCTGGTTAGGCAAACATTATTAACATCTTTACCTTAGAAGTACAGAAGACTGGAGGATTTTGTACCTTAGCAATTGCAGCAAGCCTGGGAGACTGCCTTACACCAACACCTGATGACAGGACCGAAAGGCTGTTTCGTTTACCAGATTTCTTCAAGCTACTTCTGTTTTCTGTAGGTAAAAACAACTAATGTACTGCATGAAGGGCAGTAAAAAGAAATTAGTATGAACAATACTGCATAAAAAAATTCACTTTCCCTCAATAAGTACATTAGCAGATTCCTTGGTAGCAAAGGTGACCATGTTTAAGTATGGCACAACAGTATGGATATTTTTAAAGGGACAGCACTAAAGGAGGCTAAAGTTTTACTCCCCAAAGCTTTATTGATGAATAGATACCATATAAAAACCACATGGTAAATATATAAATTTGTTTACAGCCAAGTCAGCAAATATTAAATACATCTAAAATGTACTCTTGTCAATTCATATGGGGCCTTGTCCCTAGACCTTGGGTATTTATATGCTCTTGTGCTACCATCTACATGATAGATATGGGATGCAGAATAAACTAGCTGATTTGACAGCAAAATCCAAATTAACTAATCAAGTGGGAAAGTTTAGAATTCAACAAAAATGTTACTGAAAGTAACAAAGTAGTATGCTTCAGAGGTTACATAAAAATAGGCTAAAAAAAATAAATACTAACATGACAAAACCTTCAGGTACATTACAAAATATTACAAAATAATTTTTATTGATGCAGTTATATTAAAATGATTAAAAAGCCTGTCCTCTTAACCACAAATGTCATGGCACTGTTTTAAAAAGAGAAATGGATGACTTTACAGCACATGGAACACTTAAAATGTTTTGCATCAGCTGCAAGAAGCTAGTGCCTCATCCTCGAAAACATTGGAGGAAGGGGGTAAAGGAGGTTTTGAGGGCGAGAGGGTTTGGGCTTCCAGCAAGAATGAGAGCATCTTAGATAGGAGTGGAGACAAACGGTTTATGGGACATGACGAGCTGTAGAAGTCTGAGCAGGGTAATAATTTGAAGGGATTCAGGGAAACTGGTTAGCCAGATTTGAGTCCTGGAAATGGGATGGAAATGGGAAGTAAAATGCCTGCACTTTAAAGGAGGAGTTAGAGATACTGACAGTTTGGATGGACTTCTAAACTGTCGTATCCGCGCACCTCTATAAAGACTGATTATGTATGAGCGAGGCGAAAGCGTTGAATGATGAAAGTATTTTCTTTTCGGGGATTTTCTTCCCTTTTGGGTCACCCTGCCTCGATGGGAGACTGCCGATTTGTTAAAAATAATTATATATATTATATATACAGTGGACCCTCAACCAGCGATGGCATCGATTAACGATAAATCTAAATGGCGATACATTTTAACGCAAAAATTTTGCCTCGACTAGCGCTTAAAAACCCGACAAGCGCTATTCGTTCCATACGAGAGGCGTCCACTTTGGCCTGAGCGCGCCTCGCTTGTCCCGTGGGTGGCAGTGTTTACAAGCTAGCCACCGCGGTCGCTTCCAAACATACAACTGGAACATTTCATATTACCACAGCCTTTGTAGTGATTGCACCTGCAAAATAGTCACCATGGGCCCCAAGAAAAGATTCTAGTGCCAACCCTACGCAAAAAAGGTGAGAATTACTATGGTGGATGAAGAAAGAGATCACTGCCTAAGTATGAAAGTGGTGTGCGTGTCTCTGATGTGGTCAGGTTGTATAATAAACCCAATCAACCATCGTACTATTGTGGGCAAAAAAACGGCAATCAAGGAAGCTGTTTTCCTCTTTTTCTTGCCAAAGGTGCAACTATGTTTTCGAAATTGAGATCGCAAGCTGTAGAAGATGTTGAGAGGACTCTTATTGGTGTGGGATAAGCGAGAAAAAACAGGATAGCAGGTGATAGCATCTCTCAAGCGATCAATGTGAAAAGGCTAGGAGTTGCATGAGGATTTAATTCAAAAATGCCAGCAAACTAGTGATGCGAGTGAATAAAATTTTTTTTTAAGGCCAGCAAAAGGTAGTTTGAGAGATTTGAGAGAGTTGTGGATTTCCTAGTGTGATAACGCATTGGTGAGGCTGCCCAGTTCTGGACAACAAAGATGCTGAAAAATATGTGCAAGAATTCAATGCAGTAAGACAGTGAAGGACTGAAACCTGAAAAAGTGTTTAATTGTGACGAAACAGGGCACTGTTTTGGAAGAAATTGCCATGCAGGACAGTAACATTACTCAGGAGGAAAAGCACACTCCCATAACATAAGCTATGAAAGACAGGCATACTCTGATGAATTGTGCCCAATGCTAGTGGTGTTTGCAAAGTGAAGCCTTTAATTGGTGTATTACTCTAAACTCCCAGTGGTCAGGAAGAAAAACAATGCCCTCAAGGCTAATTTGTGTGTGCTGTGGAGGGAACAGTAAGGCATGGGTCATCTAGGGACTTTTTCTATGACTGGTTTACACCATGCATTTTGCCCCAATGTGAAAAATTACCTAATTGAAAAGAAAATAGACCTTAAGTGCCTCCTTGTATTAGTACAATGCTCCTAGTCAACCTTCAGACTAGGCAGAGCGACTTTCTAGGGACACGAGCTTCATTGAGGTGAAGTTTTTGCCTCCTAATACCACTCCTCTCCTGCAGCCCATGGACCAGCAGGTCATTTCCAACTTCAAGAAACTGTACACAAAAGCTATGTTTGAAAGGTGCTTTGTAGTGACCTCAGAAACTCAACCAACTCTACGAGAGTTTTGGAAAGATCATTTTACCATCCTCAATTGTTTAAACATTATAGGTAAGGCTTGGGAGGAAGTGACTAAGAGGACCTTGAACTCTGCTTGGAAAAAAACTGTGGCCAGAATGTGTAGACAAAAGGGATTGTGAAGGGTTTGAGGCTAACCCTGAGAATCCTATGCCAGTTGAGGAATCCATTGTGGCATTGGGGAAGTCCTTGGGGTTGGAGGTTAGTGGGAAGGATGTGGAATAGCTGGTGGAGGAGGACAATGAAGAACTAACCACTGATGAGCTGCTAGATCATCTTGAACAGCAAGAGGGCAGACCTGAGGAAACTGCTTCTGAGGAGGGGATAGAGAAATTGAAGTTGTCTACTTCTAAGATTAAGGAAATGTATGCAAAGTGGCTTGAAGTGCAAACCTTTTTTGATAAAAATCACCCTAACACAGCTACTGCAAGCTGTGTTGGCAACCTGTACACTGACAATGTTGTGAACCACTTTAGGAAAGTCATAAAGGAACGAGAGGTACAGGTATCTATGGACAGATATGTTGTGTGACAGAAGTCCAATGACTGAAGCTGGTCCTAGTGGCATTAAAGAAAATGGAGTAACCCAGAAAAGATTGCTACCTCATAAGTGCTAAGGAAGGGGATTTCCCATTCTAAAACATACGAAGCTAACGGTCTCCCCCCTCTCCATCCATCATCATCACCAGATCTTCAATAAAGATAAGTGTCATGTAACTGTGCATGTCTTCTTCAGTTTGTGTGCATTAAAATTAATATTTCATTTGGTAAAATTTTTTTTTTTCAATACTTGGGGGTGTCTTGCACGGATTAATTTGATTTCCATTATTCTTATGGGGGAAAAATTACTTGACTAACGATTATTTCGATAACGATTGAGCTTCAGGAACGGATTAATATCGCTGGTTGAGGGTCCACTGTGGACCCTCAACCGGCGATATCAATTCGTTCCCGAGAGCTCATACATACATACAATGTATGTATAAGCTCTTAGGAACTAATTAATATCGCTGGTTGAGGGTCACAGTGGGCTCAACAAGCGATATATACTGTTGTATATATGTATTTATGTATATAAGTATCATATGTATGTTGATATATGTATGGTATATATATACATAACATATCTACAATGTATGTCTGAGCTCTTAGGAATGAATTAATATCGATGGTTGACGGGTCCACAGTGGGACCCTATACAGCGATAATTAATCCGTTCATGAGGAGCTCATCGTTAATCGAAATAACTCGTTTTCAGTTAATTTTCCCTATAAGAATAAATGGAATATCAAATTAATCAGCAAGACACCCCAAAGTATTGAAATAAAAATTTACACCATGAAATATAATTTTAATACACACAAATGAAGAAGACATGCACAGTTACATGACACTTACCTTTATTGAGATCTGGTGATGATTGATGGGATGGGAGGAGGGGAGAGTACCGAGATCTTCTTAGTTTTAGAAGGGATCCCTTCCATTAGCACTTGAGGTAGCATGTTTTTTTCTGGTGTAATTTCCTTTGTGTTTTTAATGCCACCTAGGGACCAGCTTCTGAGTCACTGGACTTCTGTCCCTCACATATCTGTCATAGATACCTGTACCCTCTCGGTTCCTTTATGACTTTCTGAAGTTGGTATTAATGTTGAAGGAAAAGCTATGGCATGGAAAAGAGGAACTATAAATGTATTATTCAAGGCCCCCCCACTGGATTACGGGGAGTAAAACAAAGATTGGACGGAAAAGTGGGCTTATAGTAAGCGTAGTATGCACCTGGGAACGAAGTTGTAGAGGAGAGAGAAATTTTGGGAAATGTTGAGGTGAATGCGTTGGGAGTTTTGAATCAAGTTGTGAGAGTTATGGTGGTTGGGAATTTCAATGCTACAGTGGGTAAAGATTCTATGGAGGGAGAGTTGGAGGAACGGTTCGCTTCTGCATAGAGGGATCTCGACAGGGGGGAAGAGCGAAAAAGCCCCAAGGAAAAACTAATCCTTGGTGTAAAAGGGGTCAAGGTAGAGAGAGTAGCAGAATCCCCGCAGGGGAATAGATCGGGGGCCCCATTACAAGTTTCGATAAAAAAGGGGTGGAATGAGGGAAGGAGGGTTCGACGACAGCCCCCCCTGAAAGTGGCGGGGGGTTTTAAACCCCTTCGGGGTCCCCCCTAGATCTACGGTGGTCGGTGAGTGCCAAAACCGTAGATCAGCCAAAATTCTAGTGCCGTAAATTTAGCGCGAAAGCCTCAGGGGCCTACTGTAGAAAGGGGCTGCGCCGGGGTGTGCGCCGTAAAAAAAAAATCTAGGCGCCTGCATGCATTTGGAAAACCCCGGCTCATCACCCTTTTTCACCATGCCTCGTCGCAATTTCAGCTCTCATCCCGGAAAATTG